CAGGCAGAAGAGCTGTTGTACTATGAGGCCGGCCCCAGTGTCTCTCTTTAGCAAAAAGAGAATGGACCTTGGGCTCAACGCCTTGAGTTCTCAATGGCTTGACCTCAGACTTCTCTAATAGTGTTCTGTTTTTCAGAACTTCCGTGATATTTGACTTGACTAACAGTGTTCTGTTTTTCAGAACTTCCGTGATATTGGTTTCCTATAGACAACGATTTGAGAGTCTTCCTTTTCAATAAATGCAACTCAGTATTTTTAAGTAAGCCTATTTAAAGATGAAGATTAAAAAGAGAGGTCGAGGTTGTATGTGGAAGTAGCAAAAGCTGGAACTGTGGCATGCAGGAGGTAAGCGTTTTAGAAACACATGTGCAGGGAAAGTGAGAGCACGAAGGGCCTTCCCTCCAGTGATCATATCCTCCAGGAGACTCTCGGACCAGTACAGAATGACACGTGATTCCTAACAGCAGCCTACACCTCCTTGCCTGCCTTCAAAGCACCGGTCTTTTCCATAAGCTGCTTCCTTTCTCTCTGCAGTTAGTTTGAGGGAGGAAGTAATATAATTCCTGCTTGACTGAAAGAAAGCGAGCCCCAGAGAGGTGAGCTCACTTGCTTAAGGTCACGTAGCATGTAAGAGGCTGTACCCAGATTCAAACTTAGATCCAACTAATGCCACAGCCCAAGTTCCAGCAGCTGTCCCACACAGGCCCCTGCTCAGCAGAGGAATTCAGCCCCGCCGGGAACTTGCAAAGCCAACTCTAAACCTGCACTCTGCTTGGGAGTTTCCAGAGTCTGTCTGGGAGGAGATGGAAAAGGGGAAGGGGTAGGGCATAAGACAGACCAGCTCAATGACGCCACCCTGATACCAACTCAGAGGGTGCGAACATCACACCCTGGAGCACCCTGCCGAGGAGTAACAAGAACACTAGACAACAACAACAGCAACTAACGTTTATGGGGGGCACTTCCTACTTGCCAGCCCTGGGCTGAGCGCTCCATACACAGGCACTGCTCCAACCTCGTGAAAACCCCTCAAGGTAGATAGCATTGTTCTCCTTTTGGAAACGAGGGAACCGCAGTCTGGAGCGAAGACAAGACGCAGCGAGCGAGAGGCAAAGTCAAAGCCTCACTCATAACCATTCTCTGTGCTCCTTCCAGCAGGGAGTCATTTATCAGGGCATTGGCATGACAACCAGCAAAGTTTAGGTACCTCCCCCGACATCCCATCTTCCCTCCACGACCCAGTATCCATGACCTTAAAAGGCATTGCAAAAAGGGTTCTTAGCCACAAAATCAGAAGACATGAATCTAGTTCCAGTGCAACCACTTAGCAACTGCAGGTACAGCTTTATCCCTCTCTATATCTCAGTTTCCCACTTGGACCATCCCTGAGGACCCTGAATGGGTCTTGGGCAATGTTGTCCAATAAAAACATAGTGAAAGTCACATAGATGTGGTTAGGTGTTCTGCTAACCACATTCAACAAAATGAAAAGAAACAAGGAAAATTGATTTCAATGATATAGTTCATCTAACCCAATATATCTGAACGATAATGATTTCAATATATTAGGACTTTCTAAACAATTATTAGGCCCAGCCTCTGTAGTGCAGTCAATAGCGTACAAACTGCTGAGCTGGAAGCCACAAGGCCGGCCATGGTCTTGGGTCCCCAGGCTGGTTGACCTGAAACACACCAGGGACGCATGTGTGCCAAGATCCTGACGAGCCAAAGGGTTGTGGGAAGGGGATCGCGGCATGACCAGGCCCCGTTGAGGGTTTTTTTCTCTCTCTTCCTTTCTCTCTGCCTTGCATATATGTGCATGTGTTCTCTATTATAAATAAAGTAAATAAGATGGTTAGAGATTTTAAAACATTATTAATAAATTACATTCTCCTCACACTAAATCTTCAAATCCTGGTGGACTTTACAGTTCATTTCAATCTAGACAAGGCACATTTCAAGTTTTCACGGGCCGCACATGGCGAGTGGTTGCCATGTTGGACAGTGCAGGTCTAGAATCTTCCATCCATAACCCATTCGAGGGGGCTGAGACATCTCAGCATTCTACTTTCTCTTGGGAAAGATGTCCTGATCACAGACTCTGAGCTGACAAGTTCCACAGAAACCCAGGGCAAGGATCTGGAGCCACAGCAGATACAAACCCCAGGCTTGTCTGGGCGGGAGGAGGCTGTCGGGGGTGCCGCCTGGCCCTCTGCAGCCAGATTACTCACCAGAGCCCTGGGAGGGGGACAAGGCTCTGGGGAAGACAAGACCACAATCCTGCTTTTCCTCCTGACTCAAAGATTCCCTTAATTGGAAGTTCAGTCTGAGCTTGAGACGAGCCAGGCAGCCAGCCCCTACATGGCACCACCCAAGGCGTAGGGGACTCCCGCCTCACACCAGGCACCCCTGCAGCACCCTGGCAGCAGTGACACAGCATGCAGGAAGCTAGATACCAACGTCTCACTGCTTTCAGGACATAATTCCAGGTGTGGGCCTGATGACCTCCATGGGAGCCCAGTGTCTCTCACTCATGGGCACAGACCTCAGCAAGAAGAACGAGGAGGGCAGGGAAAACGTGGGGGCAGAGAAGAACAAGAGCCTGCCTCTCACAGGGGAGAGAATGGGGAAACCCTCCAACTCCCTGACCTTCTATTTCCTCACCACATAAACGTTCGAGGATTGCTTTCACTGCTGGCCGCCCGGTGCCCAGCATTTCATAGGCATTAGCTCATCTACCCCTTCCAAGGAGGGTATGAGGAAAGAGGATCCCAGGTTCAGAGTGGTGAAGTAACTTGGGCAAGGTCACACAGCTCTTCAGTAGAAAACCCAGAGTTCCTATTTACGATCTTGTGAATCAAGACTCTGGGCTCTTGCCTACTTTGCTCTGCCATGTGCCAGGGTAACCCAGGACAGTCCAGACTGACAGCCATTATGACCAGATACATTTTGTGTAATTATTTAAAATGTTCTTTCTGGAAGAAGGGAAAAAATTTCACACAGAAAATTTCACATAATAGATAGATAGATGACAGATGATAGATAGATAGATAGACCTTCCTCCAAAAGGCGAAGCTTAATTCCAGGCCCTTCTCCCTCCTGGGGGTGGACTGAACTGAATGTCTGGATGCTAACGGATGGAGTATGCACAGGGAAACAACCGTAACTTTAACCAGAGAAATCTGGCAGACGTGACCTTTCCCAAGTGATCAAGGTCAACATCACCGCTGCTACGTCATGTCACGATCACACACCATGATGTGATGAGAAGGGCACCTCACCTGTTGCATTCGTCCCCAAGTGGATAACTTCAGCCTCATTATGAGAAAACTATGAGACAAACCCAAACTGAGGGGCATTCCATAAAATATCTGACCAGGGTTCCTCCAAACTGTCAGGATCATGAAAACTAGAGAGAAAATGTGAAACGGTCATAGACAGAGGAGACCAAGGAGATCTGACAGCTGCACTGTGGGAGACGGTACAGTTGGACGGGGTCCGAGAACAGAAAAAAGACATTAGATGGAAAAACGAGTGAGGTGTGGAGTTCAGTGAGATGAACCCGTGTTGGTTTAACAAACATACCGTGATAATGTGAGAGGTTCACATCAGGGGAAACTGGCGGAAAGTATATAGGAACTCTTTGTACTATCTTTGCAACTTTTCTATAAATCTAAAGTTATTCTAGCGTAAAAGTTTATTTTTAAAAAGTGCTCCCCTTTACTCACAAACGTGTCAAGGTTTAGACAATAAATCATATGATCACCTCGACGTAAGCCTGGCCCTGCATCTGTCTTGGTCCATTTGTGCTGCTATTATAGACCTGAGACTGGGTAATTTATAACCAACAGGAATGTATTGGCTCACAGTTCTGAAGGCTGACATGTCTAAGGTCAGGCACCAGAAGGCTCAGTGTCTGGTGAGGCCGCTCTTTTTTCAAGATAGCACTTTTGCAGGCTGCATCCTCAGTAAGGGAGGAAAGCTGGATCTTTTCATGGAAAGAGGTGGAAGGGCCAAGAGGCAGAGAGCTGAACTCACTCTTATAATGCCATTAATCCCACTGATGAAGGTAGAGCTCTCATGGCCTAATCACCTCCCAAAGGTCCCACCTTTTAATACTATCACAATGGCAATCATATTTCAACATGAGCTTTGGAGATGACAAGCCTTCATATCCCAGCAGCTTCTAATCAAGAAGTCTTGAAAAAATCACCTATACCTTCTTTTCCCACTTAATGATTAATTGCTCACACATTCATGGCAATTAAAGTCTACAAAGTTTAGAGATAGCAAGATGTGCTGGTTAAAGCTTTAGAATCAGAAAGCTAGGGGCTGAAGCCCTGGTTCTCCCACTTGCTAAGTGGTCTTGGGCATATTATATTCCTTCTCTAAGCCTCAATTTTCACGTCTGTCAAACAAAGTCATTAAATGGTGACAATGACTAGCAATACTGTCCAGAACTGTAGTAGGTACTGTGATGGACCACACAGATGCCCCTTCAGGACAGGACTTACTCCTCCATCCCCAGCTGGTCAGAGAGCTGCCAGCTGCCATCAGCTGTTGGCCCTGTCCAGGGATTGCCTCTGGCTGAAGAGTGCCACCCAGACCCAGGGTGTGCCCCTTTCTGGAGGGTAGCTGCAGCCAATGCAGAGAATATGAAGATCTAGTTCCCTCACCACGGCTTGGAGCAACTTGGCAGGCCATCCCCACTGCAGAGGACCCCTCGCGGTGAGCTGAAGACTCTATGGAGACTGCATGGCAGCCCGGCCCAATCCTGCTTCCTTCTCTCTCCAACAGTGTTGGCCCCGAGTCTGCTCCCCACGGACTTCTGCTCCCCACTAGCTGCCATCTCAGAGACTGAGTCCTGGGAAACTCATCCCACCACAGGACCGTCATGGTAACAGCTGAAACAAGCTTGGAGAAATGGCCTTCTCTGTGGCCCTGCCCCGGAACTCCTCTCCGGATGAGGCCCATGGCAACCGCCCACAGCCGGGTCCTACCTGGAGGCGGCGATCTCGGCCTTTTGGCGCGCTATGGCGGCTGCGCGCTGGGCGCCCTCCACGCTGTGCTCCACCTTCTGGCGGACCTTGCTGCTCTTGAGCTGCAGCACGCGGCGCTTGGTGCCCTTGACCAGCACGTTGTGGCGGTACTTGCCCTCCTCGCGGTGGCCATCGGGCAGCGTGGTACAGCCGTAGCCGTGGCGCAGGTTGTCCAGCCACTCGCCCTCGTAGCGGAGGCCGCTGGGGCGCTCGCTCACGCCGAAGCCCGAGCGCTTGTCGTTCTTCCACTCGCCCATGTAGGTCTCCGTGGTGGTGGCGTCGATGTCGGCCTCGAAGGGCGCGGCCTCGTCGGCGCCCTCGGCGCCCTCGCCCAGGCTGGCGGTGGAGGCGGCGTCGCTGGCGCCGGAGCTGAGGTCGCTCTTGAGGAAGCTGACGCGGCTACGCTGGCTGCCCAGGGACGAGCGCGACTCGGAGCGCCGCAGCTTGCCCAGCAGCGCGCCCCGCTGGAACAGGCCGCCCTTGGGCGCCCGTGCGGCCGTCGGAGGCGGGCGAAGTGGGCGAGTCCGGGGCCACCGTGCCGTTGCTGTGCTCGCTGCGCAGAGACGACAGCGACGTGCGCAGCGGCGAGCGCACCACCACGGCCATCCCGTAGGGCACGCTCTGGCGCACCCCGTAGCCGTGGCGCATGCCATTGGTGAACTGGCCTTGGTACGTTCCTGTGGGCAAGGAGAAGGCGCGTCAGGGGGCGACAGTCGGGGGCGCCGCGTGTGCACAGTGACCTGGGTGTGCAGGCGCTGGAGTGGGCAAGGCATCTGAGGGGCAACACGTGCAATGTTTCTGTGGGTTTGCGAGGTCATCAGGAGTGTGCAAGAACACTACTGGGCAAGCCAGGAGGAGTTCGCTCACTGGGAACCTGACAGGCACAAGTGTGCGAGACAAGGCGAGGGCGTGTGAGTCAGAGTGTCAGTTGTTGAGCAGGCACGCCCTGGGAATGTGTGTGGTGTGCAAGGACACGAGTGAACGAGCCCGGAGTCTGCCAGCTGGTGTGAATGTTTCATTGGTGGGAACATACTAAAGTCCCAAGTGTGCAAGATAGGGTGAGCATGGGTGAGTCAGAATGTTCAAGTGTGATCGGAATGCTCTGTGAGTGTGCATTTCAATGAGTGTGTCCAGACTTGGGGTCACATGGAGAGAATGAATGTGCAAGGGCATGAGTGTGCAAGGCAGTGAGTTTGTGACTACTTGCACTTGTGGGAGTGTGCAAGGCAGCATGTACAAGAGGACAGCCAAGACCAGGTGAGTGTGACAGAATGGGACATAAACCATGAGAATATGCACGGTCTTTGGCATGCACGGACAAGTACAGTTGAGTGAGGGTGTAAGACAGTCATAGGGCCCGGGTGCCAGGTTGTGAACAGGCAAGGCTCTGTCAGGCTGGGAGGGTCACACGCATGCGCCGTTATCCCAGCGTCCCAGCTGATGCAAATATTCAAGGTCAGGAATGGGTAAAAAGGTGAGTTTGCACAGTAGTGTGTAGTGTGAATATTGGAGCGTTCGGGACTGTGAGAGTGTGATTGTGCAAGGCTGTATGTGCAAGAGACTTTCCTGGGTGTGCAGTGTCTTTGGACTATATGAGATCATGAGTGTGCCAGGCAATGTGTGCAGGTGGTGACTGGCCGGGGTCCTATGGGGGTGACACTGAGGATGTAATTGAGGTTCTGAGTGTGTAAGGGCATCTGAATGTCAAAGTACAAATTAACATGAAGCCCTCGAGGCTGAGCGATTGTGTAAGTTGTGGACATTAGTGGAACGTAAGGCCACGTAAGACCATCCGTGTGCAGCTGTGTACCAGCAGGCGTCGGCACAAGTGCCTGCGTGTGCACAAGTCCGTGAGTGCCCGGGATGAGACGGTTTATGTCAGTAGGCTACTCGGGTCCTGTGTGAGTACAGGGAAGCATAGAGTAGTGGTCAGGGGCTCAGACCCCAAATCCTGCCTCTGCCCTTCTAAGCTGTGTGACCTTGGGCAACTGACTTCACCTCTCTGTGCCCAAACTTTCTCATCAACGATAATAATTGCCTTTACCTCATAGTGTTATCTGTAAGTTTAAATGAGTTAATGTATCTAAAAAAACTTGAAAGCAAAGATGTGTATTTTACTATGATTCCACAAAGTTGTGCTGGTGTGCGAGGTCACCTAGCTGGATGAACTAGCTGAATCGAAGCTGCCAAAATAACGTCACCCCTCACCCCACCCTACCACGTGGCCTCCGCAGGGCTCCATCCAAACCTTCTTGCATTCTTCCTGGCGACCACATCATCTAGCGGTTTTTAACTGCGTCCATGTCCTGCTGACCCCCACACCTCCCTCCAGTCCCTTCCCCTCCCCCTACAGCTTCAGATGTCACCTTGGAGACAGATGTCCCCCTCAACGTCACACAGCCACCTGCAGCTCATTATCACCCCTGACTTGTGTGTACACACACATGCGTGCACACGCACCCCTGTGCCACTGTCTTGGTCTTTCTCTCCCTTCATTTTCTGCCACCATCTCTGCACCTCCCGCGTGCAGAACAATGCAAGACACATATGTTCACTGACAGGGAGGTGAAAAGTCAGTGCCCTCGTTTTAAACACAAGCCAGTGCCTTCCCCTGGTTAACAAAAACCAAGTGGCCTTCTTCCCAACACAGGCCAGGAGCAGGCTGCCTGGAGACAGAAACGACCAACCAGGGAAGGGAATCGCGAGCTCCACCCACCAGCCCTGCTTTCCTTCTGGGTTCTGCAGCCGCTGTTCCCTCTGCCTGGAACTCTCTTCCTTTTGAAATCCTTCAGTGCTTTGCTCACTGACCCTGACCACTCTATTTCAATTACATTCTGCCCACACCACCACCAGGGCCCTGTTCCCTGCCCCCCCCACACACACACACACACTACACACACACACAATGGACACTCCATGACAACAGGGATCTTTTCTGTTTTGTTCTCTGATGTATCCCTGAACCTGGAATGGGGCCTGGCACATAGATGGGCTCCATTAATACCTGCTCAATGACTGGCTGACCCAGTCCAGAAACTATCTCATTGGGTAAACTTGGGCAGCTCCCTGTCCCAAGGCCGCTGATGTGTTGAGTAGAAAGCTCTCAGGGTTTGACCTAACTCTGAGATGCTGAGCTTCTAGAAATCGGGGCCCTGTGACTCTGGAGATGGGCTGACGTTCCACTGACTGGTCCCTCCCAGCACTGGCTTCTCTAGCTCAGGTCCACCCCCTCTCCCATCCCAGCCCTTTCTGCACTGTGAATCCCCATGAAGGATCATGTACAATGGCAAGGGCCCACCTGAACCTCTCAACAGTCCTGTGAGGCACGCCCCATGATTATGCTCATCTCCAGGAGAGGAAATTGGTGCCCTGAGAGATTAAGCGGCTTGGTCAAGGGAGCAGAATCCAAATTCAGGTCTACCTCATGCCAGAGCGCACACTCTGACCCACGGCGCTTAGTCCTGGTGCACATTAGAGGTACCAGCGGAACCTTTAAAAACAACAGCAGATGGATGCCTGGGCCTTGCCACTGGAAACCCCAGTTTAACCTGTTGGAGAGGACCCCTTACACTTCCAGCCTTCTGTGCAGCAGGTGTGAGAGGAACATCTGGAATCTCCCCTCTTCAAAGACCAGCCATGACAAACCAAGGATCATTGACTATCAGTTGTGAAAGGGTCAGAGAGACATGGGGACATTGGGCATGACCTCATAGAGGGAGAAGCAGATGTGACCTCCATTTCATGGGCAGATGGATGTTCAAAGAGGTTTCATGACTTGCCCAAAGTACACAGTGAGGAAAGAACAGAACTGGAATTTGAAATTTGAACTAGGGTCCCAGTCAACCTGAGGAAATGGGAAGATGGTACAAAGGATGACAGAATGGGGAGCTGAACCGATGGAAAATGAATAGGCTCTATTTTCCAAGCTCTTGGCCTTGCGATCACGCTCGGTAGGAGGCAGGGGCAGAATGCCACAGGGCATCGGAGACAACCTGGTTTCGAATATAACCGAAGCTCTGCAGCTTTGTGCAAGTTCTTCTACCGGATCTCAGTTTCCTTACCTGGACAATGGAAAAACAGTACCCACTTTCCAAGATTTTCTTGAGGATTAAAAACAAGACCACAGAAAACGGAAACAACCCAAACGTCCATCAGCTGGTATGTGGATAAATAAACGGTGGTACACCCACGCAGTGAAATACTCATCAGCAATGAAGAGGAACAGATTGCACCCACCAAAACGTGGATAGGTTTCAGAAACATTCTCGGTGAATGAAATCAGAGACAAAAGAGGGCCAAGTTGATGATGCCAATTACGTGAAAGTCTAGAAAAACCTAAAAAATCTAAGTGATAGAGGCAGAAAGTGGATCTGTGGTCACCAGGGCCTGAGGGTAGGTGGGATCAGCTGCGAAGGGGCCCCAGGAAACCCTCTGAACAGATAGAAATGTTTGCTATCTTAATTGTGCTAGTAGTTTACACAGGTGTATACATTTGTCCTGACGTATACATCAAACACTTTATTGTATGGAACTTATACCTTGATAATATTTATTTTTTAAGGAATTATTTATTCAATTTTATTTATTATTATTATTATTATTTTAGTTTGACCAGAGAGAGAGAGAGAGGGAAAGTGAGAAAGCAAGCCGCCAAGTCCAGGACTCAAACTGCAGTCAGCCGTGTTGGAGTCCAGTGCCTTAACCACCATGCCACCTGCTGACCCCTAACATTATTTTTAAAGTAAATAAACAAAATGTAAATACACTTTTATGGAGGGCTGCCTTATGGCCTGGTGGTTAAAGGAGCTAGATTCCACATGGCCAACCACATAGTTCAAATCCCAGCTCCAGTGGCTTGAAAAACATGCCAGGTATGTACGCATACATGCCCCCAAATCCTGATGCAATGAAGAAATGGAGGAGAAATGATCCTGGTGCAACCATGTCCCATGGGGAGTGCTTTCTCTCTCTCCCAGTCTCTCTCTGTCTCTTTGTCTCTCTGTGTTTCTCTGCAAATGCATGCACCCACTGGCAATTAAAATGTTTAAGGGTACAACAACCGAGTGGCATGGTGTTTTGCAAACATCCACCAGGAAATTCCATCAGCTCTACTTTCTAAACGAAGAATCTGGCCACTTCTCAGTACCCCCATGTGGACTAGAGGGTGGCCACCATTCTCTCTCACCTGGATTTTCACACCAGCTGCCACACTGATCTCCTGCTTCCACCCTTGCCCCTTCAATCCATTCCTAACACCACAAAGGGTCTCTGTTCCAGTGTAATAAAGGAGATTGCAACACTGCTCTGAAAAAGCTGAAGTCCTTGGCGATCCACAAGGCCCACCCGATCTCATCCCCACCATCTCCTCCCATTCACCCCTTTCTCTCACCCCACTGTAGCCATAAAGTCAGAGAGACATGGAGACACTGGGCATGATCTCATAGAGGGAGATGCAGATATGACCTCCCGGCTTTCCTGTCCACCCACCTAGCCATCATCCTGCTTCAGGACCTTCGCATCTGCTGTTCCCTCTGCCTAGAATGTTCTGCCTCCAGGTAACTGCATGGTTCACTTCCCCCGCGATCACGTCTTTACTCCTCTCTTCAGCCAAGCCTCTTCCCGGACCACACTATTCGCGATTGTAACCGCCCCCTGAGGTTCTATATCTCCCTTGTTC